CCTATAAACCTTTATCTCCCTCTATCCTTACAGCAAATAGGTGTTTAGATTTAATACAAGCTTACCTCTCAAAATGTAAATACCATCCAGAGGTTAAGCCCATCAGTCACTCTCCCCCTAGTGTAAATTATTTTCATCAGGCTGCCTTCCTCTCAAAACCAGGCTGTGATCAATCACAGGGTTGGGATATGAGGGGCAATAGTGGGAGACAAGCAAGAGGATACACAATACCTGAAACTGGCATGAAAGAAAATACAGAAGACGATGCAGAAAAGTAGTTTTGCCTCTTCTTTGCCTCGAGTTTCTTAGGTAACCCTAACATCTACTAGAAACCATTCTCCTGCCAAGCGTGACTGGGCACCTTTCTAAGGCTATCATCTCTAAAAGCAAGGCACCATTTCAGTCTAGATTCAGGGAAAAAAAATTATACACACACACACACACACACACACACATATACATATATACATATATATATATGTATACACACACACATATATATATTCATATTCTCATTTCAACTATCAAACAAAATGAGCTTTCCAGCTGGCTCTTCGTGGTTTTATAGCACAGAAGAGTAACCCTAGTGGTACTTTTCCTACAAGAAGGTCACCTGGTGTTGCTGCTAGCACTGATGGTCCATGGGGGTGATGACCTCGGATCTCCTTCCCAGCTGTTCTCCAGAAGGCCATGAGTGTGGGTCTCAAATCTGTCTTTTGACCCCAGCCCCACGTGGCCACAGCCACAAGCAAGAGCCACTCTGTACTCTACATCTGGCCTGCCAGGCCCCGCTTCCAAGAAAAGCATCTGATGGTTATCTTAAGGAGGAAAATGCCAAATCTTTATTGCTGCATTTATTGCTATTGACCTTACAGTCACCATTACTTAGGGAGCCAGTGAGGTTCTGGGCAGAGAAAAGGTGACAGCTGTCCTCCCAGCCCAAGTGAGCCCTGACAGCTTTGCCGGGCAGAGGCAAGTTCCTGCCTGACTCAAGAGTGATCAGGAAATATACAGCTCTTCCAAGACGGCTGGTTCTCTCCCAGCTATGACTACTCCATAACCACTGGCAGGAGCTCTAGAAAAATCGAGTTTCCAGGCAGATGTCTAAGACCACTCAGCAACCCTGCTCGCTCACCCTGGTCTACTCCCTTTTCCAATGCACACAGCAGTTATGCCAGACTTTCACCCCACACTCCGCCCCAGAGCCTCCAATGCCAACCCCCTCCCCCTCTTTCTCAGCAGATGGTCTTGCCTCCTACTTCAGAGAAAAAATAGAGGCTATCAGGCTGGCACATGCTCCACTGCCCACTATCCCTCTCCCTGCCCCACACACTCATCTGTACCCAGACTTCCTCTGATCTCAGATCAAAGACTAATGTTTCTACCTATGTTCTTGGTCAAGATGGACTTAACCTGGCAGTTCTCTCTGCTGAATCTCCAATTCACTTTCTCCTTCCCCATCAGATACAACTTGTTCAAGTCTTCCTAGCACTAAATCTTCTGCTCTGGTCTAATCACTACCCTAACTCTCCCCAACCATCTCTGGCTACATTTTCCATTTGAAAAAAGTATTCTACTTTAAGTGTCTCCACTTCCTTAAATCTCAATTCTCTTTTATCCCACTCGCACCTCTACAGTCGCTCTTCCTAACAACTCTCAGTCACTAAATCCAAAATGCTCTTTCAGTGCTTTACTAATTTGATCTGCCATTTGACAATGTTGAGTAATTCTGACCAACTGTACTCTCCAAAATCACTGCAACTGTATCTCCCATTATACTGGGTCATCGTATTTATATGTCATGACTTTTCCAATGACCCAAAACTCACTTCTAGAATTTTTCCAACCCTATCCCCATTAAGAAATAGAATCTAGGGGCCAGGAGGTAGCACAGTGGTTAAGGTGCTGGACTCCCATAGCCAACCATGGTTAGAGTCCTGAACTTGACAGCTTGAAAATCACACCAGGTACGTGTGCATGCATGCCCAAAATCCCAAGGGGAGAATGGAGGACAAGAGATTGTGGCATGGCCATCCCCCCCGGGGAGTGATTTCTTACTTTCTTTCTCACTGTCTCTCTCTGTTTCTCTCCAACAAGTACATGCACCTTATGGCAAAACCCTTAAAAACAAAAAAAGAAAAAGAAGAAGTAGAGTCTACTTCCCCACTCCTGGACTAAGGGGGTCTCTGTGAGTACTTCAACCAATAGTTAACTTAGCAAGGCTAAATCATAAAACTGCAATGTACTTCCAGTCTTACTCTCTTGGGACACTCACCCTGAGAACTCAGCCACCATGCTGTGAGGAAGCCCAACAGCCATGTAGGGGCCCAAGTGGAAAAGAACTAAACCCCAGCCCTACAGTCCCAGGTGAGCTCTCAGGCAACAGCCAGCACCAACTTACCAGCCATGTGAGTGAGTCGCATTGGAAGTGTCCCCTCCCAACTCCAGTTAAGCTACCCCAGTTAGTGTTACATGAAATAGATGAGTTTCTGTATCAAGTCCTGGCCAAACTATAGATCATGAACAAAACATATGACTGTTCTTTTATACCACTAAGTTTTGAGGAAGTTCATTATAAGTAGATAACTGATAAGCGTACACTCTTCGTGATTTTTTTTTATTGCTTTGCTCAATTCTAGATTTTCTCTGATCTTCCTGACCATGCCTTCCTAGTCCCTAGTCCACTACTTTATGAACTTACCGTTTCAGGCTCATTCTTCAAATGATGATGTTCCTTCCTTTGCTTTATTTCTTTTTTTAACTCTACATCCTTCTCTATGTGATCTCCACTACACCCCCAAATTCAGCTATCGTAAGTATTCTTGCTGTTAAATCCTACCTCTGTAGTCCAACCTGGAGTTGACCCACAGGAATATCTCTATCCCAAACTACCAACAGCAACATCTTCATCCCAGCAGTTGCTCCATCGCCATTTCACTTGGCTCTGAGCTCCATCCCATCCCCTTACTCTCATGAGAACCTACATTTCCCAGGTTCTCTTGCCAACTTGCTTCCAGTTAGGCTTGGCCAATGGGCAACTCTGATGGAGTACTGGGGGACAGGAAGAGGTGAAAAATCCTCTCCCTCTAATGACATCTGAGGCTCCCTCTCCCAGGGGACAGACCCTTTGTCTGTGATCTGGCTCCTGATGAAAAGCCTCATCTTGGCCCAGCTTCCCCCAGGGGTCCCAGATCCAGGGCCCAGAAAATCCCCTCTTCTCTTTGGCCCTCCACCTTGAGGGTGCAGTGGCTTCTTGTTGGTTGGTGATGGTCTCAGCACCCCATTTGACTAACCAAATCCATCCCTGTAAGCCCCACTTCCTGTTTCAAATGCCAAGAGCAATTTCTGTTTTCCCACTGGACCTTGACATGGTTAAAGCACCCATACTTAATCATTTAAGCCAGAAAACTAAGATGTTTCAGTCTCCTCCTCTTCATTCATATCAGTCCTTGCCCCCACCCTACGTATAGAGATGGTCAGGAAAACTTGATGGTTCCAGCCTTTGAACCATCTTCTTCACCCCCATTATACTGCCTTGCTTCACATCATTATTCCTGTCTCAGACCAACGCAGCAGCCCCTCAATTAGTCTCCTGGCTACAGTCTTTCTGCCTTCTGATACATCCTCCAAACTGCCAGATTTTTATTTCTAATGCACAGCTAATCGTGACAGTCCCCTGATTAAAATTCTTTAATGGTTCCCCACTGACTACAGAAGAAAACCAGATCCCCTCAGTCCCACAAATACACAGTGTTAGCTATGTATGTACACTGTTCTATGCCTACCCTGGAACATGCCCTCCATGCCTATCCTGCCCACCCCCCAGCCTCATCTCCCACCACTCTCAGACTATACCATCTGAACCAGCTCAAGTTCTCCAAAAATGCCCTGTTCCTCTAGGACTCAGGGTCATCACACATGCTGGGCTGTCCTTCTCCTGCCCAGATATCGCCTGGGTTCCTCCAACATCACCTCCTCAGTGAAACCCCCTTGACACCCCCAACCAGCCAGCCACAGTGTTCCATGGCACTCTTCGGGGCTCAGGCCCCACACTGGCTACTTGTTCACATACCTGTCCCCTCCACTAAACAGGGTGCTCCTCAGGATGCAGATGGAGCTCACTCACTCTTCTATCCCCAGCACCCATTTGGCAGGGGTACAGGAGAGACCCTCAATGTACATGTCAAGTTTAAAATGAATGGAAAGAGTAAACCAATTAGAATAAGGAGAAGGAACAAAGAAAAGGGAAAGAATCTATTTTTTGAAAGTGCATACTTAATATTTTTTGAAAAACATTGTAATGAAACAATTTACTTTCAATCAGTTGGTAAGAAAATTTGTATGTGTGAATGTGTATATGCATAGAAAAGGGAGAGAGAAAAAAAAGGAGTGGAAATGCAGGCAGATTATACATAGCTGACCTCCCAGGGGGTGCTGCCTGAAGCAACAGGCAGCTCCTCCTCTCCCTCCCTTGGTAGAGCACAGAAAATTCCAGAAGCACAGTCTCCACTAGGGCAGCTCCCAGGGCCATCTTCAGGCAGGTACCTTTGCTCATTCGAAGCAAACATCAAATAAGCAAGTCTGTGATCTGCATAAACAGTTCTATGTGATCTGCATGCCATTTTTATATCCCTTGCTCAACCGCAGCTCCCTTTTGTTATAATTTAACAAATTACTATGTAGTTTTTTTCTATCTCCAAGGAAATTACATGGAGGTCATCTTTCCACACACCTCCCCAAAAGTCCCCGTGGTCCCCAACAGCTGCTCAGTGTATTGAGACCATCAAGACAGTTCCCAGAGACAATTCAAGGAATGGCCAACCCCACCATGGGGTCCCACAGTCACAGAGTTGTCATGATAGCTCCATTTTGGGGGTCACAGCCCTCCTCTCCCATTCTGCTGCCCAAACTCACCAGCCTGAATCAGTTTCACCGAGGCTGCTTGAATCTCGGGGCAATCTAGACTGAGGATGAAGGAAAGAAAGAGAAGAAGCTCTCACCTCCATCAGGAGAATGTCTTTGGAGCTTTGGGCCTGCACCTTCGGGTGTTGGACCTTCACAGCCACCGTCCGCCCATCATGTAGCACTGCCTTGTGGACCTGGGCCAGGGAGGCCGCCCCCAGAGGCGTGTCGTCAAAACTCACGAACAAATCCTGGATCTGTCAGGTATGGAGAGAAGACAGAACAATGGAGAAAATGACCCAACACGGTGGGAGGAGCCAGGTGGCTGGGCCAGAGTAGGGGCTGCCTGTGGCTTTATCGGTTTCATGCCAGCACAGGGCCTTGCCTGGACCCTTTGCTGCCATGGAGACTCACACCAGGCACATGGAGGGAGGGGAAGGAAAGACACAGATGTTACATCATCATACGTGTGTGGGGCCTGAGCACCTCCATCAAAGGCCAAAGGTGTGCTGTCTGGAATGTTCTGAACTGCACATCCTCTGCCCTCTTAATTATGCATCACTGTACCTCCTGGGCTCTCACATGTGGGAAATTAGACACTGACAGAACCTGGGCCCAGGGCAGCCAAGATAGGGATCGGACGGAAGATGTTCCAATCCCACCACCAGGGAGAGCGCAAAGGACCCTGGGTTGGGGGGCTCCCAACTCAGTGACCACCTCGTGTTCCTGCCTGAGCAGCAGACTCAATATGGGGCCCTGGCAGAGGTCTAGGGCTGGGCCAGAGGTGGCTCCCCAGCAGCAATGCCATCAGTGGCAGGATGCATAGACCCTGCCCATTCACCCCTCGCTTTTTCTATGAAGTGGGACACGGACTCCTTTACTCCTCCCCTTCTTCCTTCTCTCCTTCTCTCTCTGAAATGCTGTACCCATCACTTCCCAGCCCTTCAGCGAAGATCGCGTGTAGAAATGCCATACTAACTTTCCCACAGGAAAAACTCTTCCTGACTTGAGTGGTCACACCTACATGGTCCAGACAGGAATATTCTACCAGATGGAAAGGAGGCTCACAGATGTCTCTTTGAAGACTGGCCAAGGCTAAAAATCAAAATCCTCTGCGTTTCTCTAAGTCCCCACATAGCCCTGCAATTCTGGAAAGTCCAGATATTCACACGTACACACGCACAAATGTGTACTGCTCTGACTCGTCACGTGCAGCCAGCCCCTCTTTCCCCCACCCTCCCAGGCTCTCGTGCCTTGAGGTTTATTCATTCCAGCTCCCCCCTTCCTCTTTCTCTTCCCACTTCTGCAGCAGCAACTCCGTCCTGCCCCTCAGCCCCTCTCCTCCCCTCGGACTTCAGAAGTCACATGACCCACAGCCATCAGCCCATCCCCAGCTGCTCAACTGCACCATCGCTTTGCTAATCTCATCTCATAAATCACTCTCTCTAGCCCTGTCATCATTTTTGTAGCTTTCACTAAACTCCCTTTCATTTATCAACATTCTGTGGAGGCCAAAGGCCTGGGTACCATGGGGAGGGACCTGCACTTTCCTGTCCTGAGAGTTGGGTATGGGATGGGCTTCCTTGTCTCCTTTCTTCCTCGCTGGTCTTTATACTCCTCTCAGAGACTGGTGCTTCCAGCTCCCCCAATGACACACTCATCTTTTTTGCTCTTTCATGAGTTCTAGGCTCCCTAAGGCAAGTCTCTTTCCTCATCTCCCACCATACTCACTCTGGGTCTCAGCAAAGAACCTTTACCCTGGATCTGGGCTTGGTACCATCAATGCTATAAACTCCATGAGAACCTCAGCACCAAGTGGGCAGGGCTTTTGATCAGTTTTGCTCGCTGACTTCCCTGCACCTAGTCAGAGCCAAAGAGATACTTGTTGCCTGAAGCCATCCCTATCTCCACTGGAGACTTGAATCAACCTTTTATATCCCTCAAAATGGCTAGGCCTTCCTACCTTCACACTCCTGGTAATCCAAACCTCTCATATATGTAACTTTCCAAACTAGTAAAATGCATCTGCCTAGGTGGGCTTCACCTAGGCAGATGCTACATGTTACTTCAAAATGGGAGTGAGACCCTGACCTGGCCACTCAGAACCCAGAGGACCTGTGGACACACTGACTGACTGGCTCAGCAATGGACAAGTGACCCAACAGGTCCAATCGGGCTCATTGTTTTGCTTTAGTTTGAACTGTGGAAGAAGAGTCCTTCTTTCTATTTAACTTGAACATAAACCTACAAGCAGAGCCAAGAGGCCGAAGAGGGAAATCCTGGTTATAATATTGGAGCTCCTTGACCTAGCTATGCCTGAGTATCTACACTGTCTATTTTTTTTTTTTTTTTGCCTATGTCAGTCTGAGTTTTCTGTCACACTGAAGGGTCTTGGGTCTCTGATACAGTGTGTTCACAGGTCACAGTTGGCATAAATGAAGGAAAATGTGGGCCTAGTCCCTGACATCTCCAAGACATTCAGTAAGCCTGAATTCCCTTCCCTCCCCTCTTCTCACTGGAACAGGGATCCAGGAACAGAAGGAAGGGTAGTGTTCCAGCAAAGTTCCTGGCCAGTACGTGATGAGAACACCTCGGGCCCCCCTGGTGACCCTCAAAGGAGAGCATCTGTGGAGATGAGCTGGGGACTCAGGTCCTCATCTCCCAGGCAGTTAGCATTGCCCCATCACCCCCTGCAAAGGGACTTGGGGGTCACCTGATTTTACTCCCCATCCCAAACCTCCACCTGGCTCCCAGGAAGATAGCCGCTTACTGAGAAGGACGATCAGTCTTCAAAACACTGCCACTGCAGGGGCATTGCAGAGTCATTGCAACCGAAGAGTGACATGGCATCGCTAGGGCTCTATGGCAAGAGCAGTTGCCAAGAACACCCCACAGAGAGGTGGAAGGACAGGCTGAGGCAAGCAGATCCCAATCTTCAGGGTGAGAAGCTCTGTCTGTCATCTCCCCAGGGGACAGGAAAGGGGCCTCCCACAATTTTCTCCTCCTCTCTACCCCCTGGTGATCAAGAGGGCCCCGAGACACCCACCCAATCCCTGCTGCCAGCTCAGCACTGAACAAGGACCGGCTGTGAGGACTTGCCCCAAATCCCAATTTGACCAGTGAAAACAAGGAGCGGCATGAGAAATGAGGAAACTATGCCTGGTAATCATGCTGGAAAAAGAAACGTTATACACTGTAGAGATAAATGCGATGAGATGTAGTATAAAAAATAATGATAATAACAATTTTTTTTAATTATACAAAAGAAATGAGGATGTACCACCCTCACTGGGCACACACACCTGTGACACAGGTACCCCACCTGCTCCAGCCCCGCCCAGTGTCCCTGCGGTCATTCTTTCCCTCCCGGCCAGGAGGCGAGTCCCACGCCCACACCTTCCTGTGCCTATGGGAGCACACACACACACGAGCACGCACACGCGTGCACACACACACACACACACACACACACACACACAGTAATTGATTGCCAGTGGATGTTCCTAGCTGGCTTATAAAAAAGGTAATTAAAGATTGGTGCTGCAGCCTGTAATTAAATATGAATAAAGTATCTCTAAATGGAACCTTGATTCAAAGTGTTCCGTGGAAATACTTTATGCTGATAGATAGTAAGAAAAAATAAACCCTGTCCGAAAGCAGAATTATACCCCCCATGCAGCCGAAACAAACACCACGCCCCTCCAATCAGGCCTCCTCCCCCAGCCCTTTCAGCAGAAAACCATTAGCAGAAACAAACGGCAGCATTTGCAGCAATTAGATTCAAGCAGGGCCCTCAGCTGCCTCCAGCCACGAGCAGAAACTTGTCTCCCTTTCTAAGGCTTTCTTTCTCCCGCTCCTTTTTTTTCTTCTCTGGGTCTGGCGGCAAAATCAATTAAGTAAAACAACTGCATTTTAAAATGACTAGTTATGTGCTTTTTAATTACTGTGGGCCTATGATTCACACATATCGATATTCCTGTCTGGAAAAGGAAAAATAATACGGAAAAAAGTTTCTCTGGCTTTGTGTGGTTTGGTTTCTAGAGGTGGGGGAGTCTTTTTATGAGCAAGGGAAAAATAACAGGGGGGAGGGCAAAAAAAAAAAAAAAAAAAAAAACGTGTCATCCTCTAGGGGCTTGGCAGACGGGACAGTTAAGACTTTGGCAATCTGGCTTCGGTTTAGGATCCGGAATCAAGATGCCAAGTCTCAAGGCAAAGTGAGAGATTCCCCAGAAAGTCAGCTGTACAGTGTCCCACAAAGTCAGGTTACCGGACATTTCCAAAATACCCCATTGAGCAGCCCAGCATTTGGCCAGGGTCCTCCTTCGGCCCAAAATAAAGTGACAGGAAGTCAAAGTCTTCCGGCAAAGCCACAATCTGACTCTTTGGGAGTTTCCTTGGAGCATCTTAGACCCCCCCCCAACCCACAGCTGCAGGCCCCACATGGTGACTGGCTCATCCGCTACAGAATGGGGATGGCCAGGATTTGCCAGGACAATAGGCTAGTTTCAAGTATTCCATCCTGCTGTCCCCAGAGCCATTTGCACCAGACCGATCTTAGTGTCAGAAACTGTCACTGTATCAGTAGCGCATTCTGCAAACCCTGCACCGCCTGGCTCCAGATGAAGACAGGAGCCCAGCTCAAAGCAGGCGAGTCCAGGCCTCAATGCCACAGCCAGGCAGTTCTCACTTAGGAGCTGAGGGGACTGCCTGGGGCGCCTGAGACAGAACCAGCTCAGGGCAGGTTACCATGGCATCGATAGCAAACAACACCTGGCTCTTGAAATGGCCCGACCCACGCACCTGGCTGGGCGCCAGCTGCCACCCACTGGAGCCTGATGGGGAGAAAGGCCAGTCTCTGTCTGCACTAACTGAAGTGGCTGGAGTGAACTCTCTCTGCCCCTGCAGCCTCAACGTCAGGCAGACAAGATGGCTCCAACCAGTCAAGAGTAACTCTGACGTCTGCCTTAGGCGGAAAAGGACCCATCCCCTTCTCTCAGCTCTGTTTTTCAGGGACCTGTCCCAGGTACATCCATGAATCTTATAGTCATCATACCAGCTGATACCCCCAGCAATCCCTATCTCCCTTCTAAACATGCCAAGGTCATATCCCATCTTTTCAGGGTCATTCCTGTACCTTCGAAGATGACATCTGACAGTCACAGCAAATAAGTGGCACAAGCATTCTCACTTTGTCATGGTTTTAAAATATGTTCATCCCAGGCATGGTGGCACACACCTGTACTCTCAGCTACCTGGG